ATAAAGTTGTTTGAGTTTAGGCACCGTCTGAGCTGCACAGAGGTTTGAGTGAATTAGGGCTGAATATCTTCGAAACACCAAGGATGAAAAACAGTAACTTACAAAATGCAGACATCATATAATACAATTTGAATCATAATCGTGTTGTTGTCACTTTTAAATCTTTCTTTTATTTATAAAAACAAATTATTTGTTTCTACGTCCACATTGGGTCAAATTTCTCCTTTCATTTGCTTGTTCTGGTAGAAAATAAAAGCTGTTTTGTAAGAAAAAAAAGTTTTTTTAAAAGATGACAACAAAAAAAAAGCTGAGACTCATATGAGCATTATTGAAAATGTTCAATCCTCCCCCCCCTAGTTGTATGGACGGCTTCTTCCACTCACGTGTACCTTTCATTTAGACTTGTGGTCTACAAGAAATCATAACAACATACCAATGATAACACACTGACACGCACATACACACACAAACATGCAGCAACTGACATAAAGAGAGACAGAGGGAGCCGGGGTCTGGGGCTAAGTAAGCGGTGCACCAGGTTATGCGTCATTTACCACGGCTCAATAACAACCTTTCACTCCGCCCGACACACCTGGTCACACAAAGTGACACTTGCTGTCCTCTAACAACACACACACACACACACACATACACACACACACACACACACACACACACACACACACCATATCTCCTTTCACCCTATGGTGGCCTTAACCAGACATATTACATCCCCACTCCACTATCTACCCGTGACAGATGTATTTATGTAATGCTTTTGATAGGTATTGATTCACACGGCGGAGCCAGTTAAGAAACAGAGAAAAATGAGATTTCAAAATCAACATGGCTGAGGGGGTTGTTTGGTGGAGACGCTGCCTAACGAGACAGCGAGAGACACAGGGAGAAAGAAAAAAGGTGTGTGTGTGCGTGTGTGTGTGTAGAGCAGTAAAGTGAGTGGTGGCACCAGACCTCAGGTTTAAAGTGCACACAAAACACGCACTTATTTCACAAAGCATAGATGGGATGGATTGAGGACATGCGTGAACTGTGTGTGTGTGCGTGTGTGTGTGTAGAGCAGTAAAGTGAGTGGTGGCACCAGACCTCAGGTTTAAAGTGCACACAAAACACGCACTTATTTCACAAAGCATAGATGGGATGGATTGAGGACATGCGTGAACTGTGTGTGTGTGCGTGTGTGTGTGTGACCTTGGCTTGGCCCGGTGGTAAAGTGGGGCGTCAGGAGAGTCAGTGTGTGAGCAGCCAAGCGTTCTCCCTCAGATTAGCGGGCTTTATTACTGCCACCAACCACTGGCCTGACAAATCCTCTTATTTCATTTTACCTTCCTTTACCTCGGCCTCCCTCTTTCTCTTTTCCTCCCTCTTTTATTTCCCTAAAACCTGCGTCCCGGTCGTTTCTCTTGACTCTGCAGTTTCCCGTGCTTCACCTCGCACTCCTCCTGGCTCGCTCTCTCGTTTCCCCCTCTCACTGTAACGGCCCTATTTTCTATTTTGTTCCCAGTGTTTTCTCGTCATTGTCTTTCCATCTTCTCTATGGCTCCTCTCACACCCATACAGCTCTTTTTCCTACCTTCCTCCACTCCTCCTCTCGCTGCGCTCCTCCCTCTATCTCTCCCCTTTCGCCCTCCCTCTCTATAGTGTGATGAATCTGTGGACAGGGGCTAATAATTGTACTTCAGCCCAAGTGCTCATTTTTCTTTGTGTTTGAAAGCTGTGACAGGCAGGAGCTCTTTCCCCCCCCTTCTCTACCCCCTGCCCCTCCTCACCTCTCTCCCCCCTCTCTCTTTTCTTTCTGTCTTCACACAATGGGTGAGTAAAATAACTCAGGGTTTACAAGGTCATGCTGTCTAGCGGTGAGGACACGCTGGGGACTTGGAGCTGGAAGGATTTCCTCAAAGGTGTCGTGTTGAGGCTTCAATAAAAACAGAGAATGTTATAGATTGCTGGAGCAGATCTGCGGGGGGAAATAAGTGCATTTGATAGGGAGCAGGTTCGCTGGAAAACAGCTATTTGGATCCAAATGTTATCAGCGCCGCTTCTGAGATTTTTATGTAAAAGAGCACGTGGAGGACTGAAGACTTTGTTGCACGTGCCAACATTCATGCAAACACCATCGTCCTGTTACACAACTTTCATCATTCGCAAAAAGAAACTGTTTAAAACACGACGCCTCCTGCTGTACTGAACTTTCAGGGATTATTTGTAGTTTGCTTCTGAGCAGTGTGGTGTTTGAATAATGTGCCAAACAGAACAGGAAGTCTGTTTTAACAGGTTCCTCACATCTCATAGAGACGTGCATCCGCCACAGTCTCTGCTCCTTCTACCTCTGAACACACAAAGGCCGAAGGAGTTTCTCATCCTGCAGGTGAATACAAATTCGATCTTCAAAAAACTGCAAAACCTGAATTTAAGAATTTAATA